TGAACTGCCGTATCCTATTGGGACAAAAGTTCTTTAATTAAATAGAAAAAACAAACAACTGAATTTAGAATGTAGTCCCTTTTGAAGTCGGTTAGTGACAAACCCGTTGCAAATAAAATAAATAAATATTTCCAAGACACACACCAATTAGCCAAGCCCCGAAGTAAGCGCTATAAGGCTTGTGTTATGGGATATTAGGGTAACGGATAGAATACATATACTGTACATATATAAGTATATTTATATAGAAATAGATATTAAACATCCATGACTGGAGTACAATTGCACGTATTCATCACACAAACACCTGCCCCCACCGGGATTCGAACCCGGGACCTCTTGAGTCGGCGACACCATGAAACCCGGCGTATAAACCACTCGGCCACGGAGGTCGTCAAAAATGAATATTAATTCACCTGCATTCTGCGTACCCTATAAGTTTACAAATATTTTCAATTTACATACTTGCGTTATTGCTAACAGCAATTTAGATTTCTGCGATATTTTAGCGCTTGATATCAACAACTTATTTTTAGTTAAATAATATGTTCAGACACACTGAGACAACTTCAATTATCTACCTATTCGTTCTTCGCTGTGACCATTTAACAACTGAACCCAAAAATCCGTCAGTATTTGTTTCTGCTGTGTGGTATTTCGCTTTCATGTTCTACTATTAAAATATTCGATTTTTAAAAGATGGTCAGCATAGTAAAAATAAAGCCGTTTTTAAAATACGATGTTTCTAGTGTTTTCCTTTAAACATCAACTTTTAAAACAGGATTATTCCGGAAATCTTAAATCTATTCAAATCGCAGAGCAGGGAAAGTTGTGATGTTTCTCTATTCTGTGATCTCTGAAAACATTTAAAACTCGTTTAAAAATGTAGTCGCCTTTTTTCTTTCAATTTTATTTGCAAACTTGAAGAAACTGCTTTATCCTCGCGTCCGTGTTGCTCTTTGCTTATTTTCAATCTAAGTAATATAATATGATTTTCAACTTTTGAACTAAAGACTAAACAAAATTATTTCATTTTTATAACATTATATCTTTTATTCAGATGATACTTACTCATCATCATCATCAGCCTATTAATGTCCCCACTGCTGGGGCACAGGCCTTCCCTATGGATGGCATAGGGAGATTGGGCCATGACCCACCACGCGGGCCCAGTGCGGATTGGTGGGTACTAACAACTGGAGATGCAGCCGGGACCAACGGCTTAACGTGCCTTCCGAAGCACAGAGGGGCTCGAGATAGTAAATTTTTGGTCACCCATCCAATGACCAACCACTGCGAAAGTTGCTTAACTTCGACGATCGCAGCCGAACGCGCTAACCACTAGCGCCATCGAGCTCCTCTTACTCATATTAGTCATTAATCTCACAGGTGATAATGGCCACACATAAGATCGATGATTCTTTCAACCAAATATTTATTCGACCAAAAGTTAAAACATCAAACAATTCATAGACATCATCGTTAATCGCTCAATTGAATTTCGATCAAACATGGTAAGCTTGCGTCAAAAATACTAATGGAACTTTGGAACCAAAACAAAACGTATGTCGGACTCTCTTCAGAGATTTCCCGAGTACCGAATGAAAATGCTTGCTAATGGATACGCAGCCGATCCCCAACGGAAGCCGGAGTGACTGCAAACATCTGGAGCGTTCAGCTTTCAAATGTCACAAAGGGTAATGCGTTTTCCTCTTGTATGTGAATGAAGGGGGATTAATGGGATAAAAATGTGATGCACGACCGCTGTTGGAGAGTTAACTCCATTCGTTTGCTATACGGTAATGATTTGTTGTTTGTAGCATAGCATACCTACGTATTTTTTTACTGAGTTTTATTAATAAGACATTTGAGTTCTAGGTATATCAAAACAAATCATAAGTAGTCATATTTCCGTTCAGCTTGATCGTTTGGCTTTGCGTAGGGATGTAGCTTCGCTCTGCATCTTCTATCGCATTTATCACGGGGAGTGTTCTGAGGAATTGTTCGGATTAATTCCAGCTGCTGCATTTCGCCATCGTACATCGCGACAAAAATTTCATCCCCATCATCTTGATACGTGGCTATCCACAACCGTGCGTTTTTGTCGAAAATTTTTTACCACGCACGACAAAACTGTGGAATATGTTGTCGCCAGCAGTGTTTCCGGACCGATACGACCCAAAAACCTTCAAAAAAAAGAGCGTACTCCTTCCTTAAAGGCCGGCATCGCATTTGTGATACTCCTGGTGTTGCAAGTGTCCATGGGCGACGGTGATCACTTACCATCAGGTGAGCCGTCTGCTCGTATGCCCCCTATAACATAAAAAAAAATAAAAAAATAAGTAAATGCTGAGTTATTGGGTAAATTAGCTTCATTAAATAAATAAAATAAAAATATTGCACTCAAAACCATGCGTTTTAAATTCACACAATAACTCTTTGACAGGAGAACCAAAGATCAAACCACAAAAAACAACTTAATACTTACTTCATTTAATCCAAAATAATTTTATGGTAAAATAACAACTTTGGATTCGGGCCATGCTATGAGTAGTGAGCCCTTTCTTTCTTAGACATATTTATTATAATCCATACTGATATTGTAAATTAAAAACTGTGTCTGCATGTCTGTTACCTTTTTATACTATAGAAACCGCTAAACCGCTTTATATGAAATTGATTGAAGAGATAATTTGCGTTCCGAGAGTAAAAATATATTATAGTAGAAATCATCAATTAAGAGGATGAAAAGGGGGAGTAGAAGTTTGAATGAGAAACCAATTTATCCACACGAACGAAGTCGCCGGAACTCGCTATTCTATCATGGAGCTGGTAAATATCATACTATTTATTGTAAACAACGAGGAGCTTGATAGTACAACTGGTGAGGGTATTCAGCTGCGATCGTTGAAGTTGAACAACTTTCGCAGTGGTCGGTCATTGGATGGGTGACCAAAAATTTACTAACTCGAGCTCCTCCATGCTTCGGAAAGCAGGTTAAGCCATTGGTCCCAGCTGCATCTGCAGTCGTTAGCACTCACCAATCAGCACTGGGCCCGCGTAGTAGGTCAGGGCCCAAACTCACTATTCCATCCAAAGGGAAGGCTTCTGCCCCAGCAGTGAGGACATTAATAGGCTGATGATAATGAAAGAACAAGTAAGTTCCCTTGAAAAAATAATCTAACTGTGTACCCTCAATCCTAAAAAAATATTTTATAATACTCTGTCGCGTCGGGCACTGCTTCTTCTGATGTTTTTTTTCCAGGAATACATCAAAAAATAATCTAAGTGACATCTATTTCAATTAGCTGGATTTACTTTAATCAAATTTCCACACCGTGCTGTGAGCTCTGAGCACAGTACTGAGCTGGGCGTAGCTCTGGATAAACCGGGCACTTGAACTGCGCAGTTCACGCCTTTTCCGATAGATGGAGCTTTATACGAAAAGAGAAAATCTTAAGTAACATTTATATATTGTACAACAGGCCAGGGCTGATGCCTTTGAAAATGTTTCAAATTGAAACAAAATCAAAACAGGATGAAACCCATTTCAAACAAATTTCATTTCAAAAGGAACACATCGAAAAAAAGCGGTAAAAAATATTTACGGGTTATCTGAATTCGGGAAAGGCAGGGGTGACCTTTTTAGATGGGAAAACGAATTTTTTTATTATTCTTTATCTATATCATAAATTTAGTTGCCGGACATGCGACCTCTGCGTGTCACTACGTGGTCATTGCGACGACGCGCCCTGAGGAATACCCCAGGGTCATATTGTGGTTATGCGACATTTTAAGTCATACTTTGAAACTTTTTTTTTTCATCAATACCTACCTAGTGCAACTTTTTGACAAATATATTATTACCTTCCCATTAATGTATCTCTAGATTATAGGTATAGGAGGTACTGTTGCTAGATATCGAAGTTTAATATTAATGTACTAGTGGCCCGCCCTCGCTTCGCTTCGGTGTAGAGCTGTAGTGTAAACTATAGTTTTTGTTCTCAGGCTTGTGCTATAAAGAATGACTTTATTTATATAATTACACGTGTTATTGTGAGTCAACCATAAAAGATGACATATGCTGTTGCGGGATATTTTTTAGACAATTTTATGTAGAATATTTCCGTCATACATAATTTCTATGTAACTTTAACCATTAAGGCTGCACCCGCGACGGAAGCTTAAAAAATGGAGTAACTTCTCCCGTTTTCCCAACATTTCCCTTCACTACTCTGCTGCTATTGATTGTAGCGTGATGAAAAGTATACTATAACCTGCCCAGGAGTATGAAGAATAATTGTACCAAGTTTCGTTAAAATCCGTTGAGTAGTTTTTTTTTCTATAAGGAACATACACACAGACAGACAGACAGACAAAAATTTTACTGATTGCATTTTTGGCATCAGTATCGATCACTAATCACCCCCTGATAGTTATTTTAAAAATATATTTCATGTACAGAATTGACATCTCTACAGATTTATTATAAGTATAGATAAATTATAATATTTTTAATTTTATTTCAATGCAATTAGGAAAAAAATATCTTATAATAAATATTAATTTTGAAATCTTACTTCAGTCATTTTTAATCAATCATTTCAATGAATGATGGTCGGTATGTAAAAGGAAAAATATTAGGTTGGTATTTCTCACTTATAACTCTCAGGTAAAAAATCACAGGAAAAATATTCTGGTGATCAGTTTTGACTCCCGTATATTGTCGCGGGCATTTTGGGCATTAATGCGCTGACCGTCAAACTACTTCAGAAGTACTTCCTGACTACTTCCGGCCACTCATTAAAATTGATATCTAAAAAGGACTGTATCAAGACTATGTTTAAACTATATATTACTGGCCTACTTATTATATAATAATATTGGTGGATTTAATATAATAATCAGTCCTTTTTAGATATCAATTTTAATGAGTGGCCGGAAGTAGTCCGGAATAACTTCTGAAGTAGTTTGACGGTCAGCGCCATAATGCGCAAAATGCCCGCGACAATATACGGGACATAATTATGTATAATGGAGTATAGTTTTATTTTAAATGTAACTCTCTACTCTCTGTGAGCTTATAATTTAATGTCTTATTCCATTCTGATTGTTTTCTATTTGTGGTTTCTTCAAATTTGTAATATCGATTGCTGGTTCAACATCATCATTTTTTCTTATTTCGTCATTTTTCTTTTCATCGTTTATTTTCTTGTCCTTTTTTCCTGAAAATGTTTCATTTCAATTATGATTATGTCTTCGATCGTTATTACCAATGATATTGTTAGCTTATCGCATCACTTAGACCGCGTTGCTTGACACATAGTTAAATTTAACTATTACATAATGTGTTATTTATTATCTATAGTATTATAACTAAAGTCATATTTGACTATGTATCATACAACTCGACTTAAGGCAATATAACAATAAAGAGGAATAACAAATATGAAATTTGATTGATATCTTGATATTCACCTCCTAAAACCATCCCAATGAGTCTTGTACAAGGTAGATCTATAAAAATTGTTACCAGATAAGAAACGATGACTGTCACAGTGAAGTTAATCATAAATCGATGGAACTGCAAACAAAATACGTATAATTTCATTTAGATACAGTAGTAAAGGAGCATTTCTTTCAAAAACTCTATCGACAATATTACTTTTTCACAAGCCACCAAATTTTGTGAATATATTTTATGGGTACTCCTTAGTACAGCAACTTCCTATACGAAATCAAATTGTAATGTTCTTCTTAAATTGTTTGATAAAAAAAAAACTGGGTAAGTCACATGAGATATTAACATAATGTCAATTTAGTTATTAATTACCTATTATATATTTTATAAACTTATGAATATATTAATCGTTATACTTAAAATATGATAGTTGTTACTATCATAATATTTATGATAAGCTATCACATCATAAATCTGATAAATAATGCCCCCAAACAACTTTAACACATAAAAGATAAATAAAAATCAACTACTTACAGAATATTCAACGGAGAAATGTATCGGTGCAATTGTTGTGGCATTTATGATGTAAACAAGGGGATAGTGAATAATGTACATGGCGTACGAGAGCCTTCCCAAGATCTTGAATATGTGAAGAGACAAAATCCAGTTAATAGGGCCTGAAATATGAAATAATACGTTAATACCTAAGAAATAACTCATAGCGGATTTCCTACTAGAATTGGATCATTAACGACGTTATGATTCTGTCTCTATTGGTTCCACGGGGAATTGATCCAGGATAGGCAATGGTGCGAGTGATGTTTTGGTATATAGCAAGCGTCTATAGGCTATGGTGGCCGCTTACCATCAGGCGGGCAAGACGCATGTTTGGTTCCCTTTAGACATGAAAAGACATGATATAGTACAAGGTTAGGATATGAAATACCACCTGGACCAACATTCTCAATAGGGTATTTGACAAGTTTTAGAAAACGATCTCACGTTATTGACTAATGTTTATGGAGTCCATAAAAAGTGGATATTCATCTTTCTGTTGTGTATTTCAGTAAAAATAACCAAATCAAAAACTCCACTTTCAAGTTACCGTGAAAACGTTTCTCTGGACAATATTGCGTTATATTAGTGTGTGACGTCACACGTCTGTTATTGAAACGTCAAACGATACAATGTAATGCCACTTTAACCGGAAGTTTACTTGCGTCTGACGTCATTTTAGGCTCCGCCAATCCCTAGCGTTTTGGGTCACGTGACAATAGATAAGAAATCTGTTATCAAATATTTTCGACACATCTTAACCAGCAGGGTCTTAGCTATTGATTAAGTTCAATTTCACTGTCGTAGTATTCATTAATGCTTTAAACGTCAAATAAATGGTGCAAGTAGCACCTCAAGAATGATTTGATTTAAAAAGTATGCAGTCGGGGCCGATCATTATGAACAAATCAAAAGGCTCACAGTCTTTGAACATACCTCCGTATCCTTTAGCACAAGCGAACGTCAACCATGCTATACTTGCAGCCCAAGCTGGTCTCATAATCGAGTTCAGGATGCTATCTACGGTTTGATTGTCCCAATCAGGCTGAATTGTGTAGTATGTGGAAATGCATATGACTGTGCTAGTGGCGCCCGCTAAAGTCCACAGCAAAGCTACTAATGGCTGAAAGACAAAAAAAAAGTTTATTGGTAAGATCAGCAGTTAAAATAAAGAACACGATGTTCACAAATAATATGTAGGGGAAAACCAGGGGACTTGCCCAGGTGGGACTATTGGACCACATTTGTTTCTTAGGTTTTCACGCACATCACTCATTAAATAAAACTAGTTTTAACGAGTTATTTTTTTTTTTTTATATATTTCCGACACACACCAATTAGCCTAGCCCCAAAGTAAGCACTATAAGGCTTGTGTTATGGGATGCTAGGGTAACGGATAGAATACATATACTGTAAATATATAAGTATATTTATATAAATACATATTAAACATCCATGACTGGAGTACAAATGCTCGTATTCATCACACAAACATCTGCCCCCACCGGGATTCGAACCCGGGACCTCTCGAGTCGGTGACAGCCATGAAACCCGGCGTACAAACCACTCGGCCACGGAGGTCGTTAATGCACGAAAATTATTTATTTATAGACGTTTCGCAGCCTTTTCAGGTCTGCATCGTCAGAATAATGAACATGAAAAGGCGGCGAATCGTCAATAAATAAATTTCGTGCATTAACCCGTTAAAACTAGTTTTATTTGATAATTTAACCATCTTTCAAAATTTATTCATGCGCAAACGAAACTGTTGAGATTGGCGTCTCGCATGTGATTAATATAACGTTTGCGCTAAATTTTAATACTAATTTGAAAGGTGGTTTAGCTTTCCCACCTGAGCAAGTCTTCCAATGTATCAATGTCTACATTAATTTGACGTTGCCCTTTCTCTCTCTCGGGTTGACTGAGCAGTTACAAGAAAAGTATTAGTAACATACTGAATTCAATATCATTATCAGACGCTGAACGTCCACTTCTGGACATATAGGTCTCTGGGGAAGTCCAGGTCCAGTACATACACTTAGTGCTTTTAAAATACCGTGGCTTTTTCAGAAAAAGCAATAATAACAAAACGAGTGTGCTTATGACCATACAACTGTAGTGAAACTTCTTTAGCTCCATCTGTATATATATATATATATATATATTACTAGCTGTACGCGCACTGCTTTCTCTTGCTTATATCCCAAATTCAACTCCCGTTCACCTCACCCGAACACACTTTTCGGAAGGCGTAACGATTACGCCGCTGAGGAGCTCGATGGTGCATGTGTTTAGCGTATTCGTTGAAGTTAAGCAACTTTCGCAGTGATCGGTCATTGGATGGGTGACCATAAATTTACTATCTCGAGCCCCTCCCCACTTTTACAAAAAATACTGTTAACCAAGTTAGAAAATGATGTAGTCACTGTGAAACAAATTAAAGTAGTTTGAAGTAATTGTACCTTGGAGAGTCTGGTTGCTTTTCCGTTACACGAATGGATCGCATATCCAAATAACATTCCAACGAAAAATGGTGCGGCGCGTGGTAGAGTGAATATATAGTAGTTACGCATATACCGGACCGAATCTTCAGGCGTCCGACTGCAAAACATTATTATTTATTTAAATAGATAGATAAATAATGCGTTTATTCTTTTCCTCAACATACATATACATTTCAGAGTAATACAATTAAAAGAAAAAATTAAAAGATACAAGAAATATGAATACCTATGCTGCAGAAAACAAAAGACTAAGGTTCGGTTCAAAAATTGCCAGTTTTAAGGCAAAACACCGATTTTCAGCCATCACGTTTTCGAGTGGGTAGATTAGCTTTATATAATAAACATGGAAAGATTTTGCAAGGAGAAAAGATAAAACAGCAGTGGACACAAGCACAGATTAACTATATTATAGAGTCAAGTACTGAAGTGATTGTTGGCGATATAAAATTAGATGATATCATACATATATATAATAACTATAAGTACACATGATTTTACTATTTACCCGGAAACTGTTTGGTAAACGTCATAAACGGTTTGGTTACGTAACCTGCCCTGCCACACATAAAATTTAGGGATGTCTAAATTTTGGATTTCTAAAAAGTATATTATTATCTGCTTTTTAAAAGTGTCTTTGGAAGAATTAATATTATTTAATAATCACATCTATTATTACACAACTTACATAATAGAGCACTTACAATACTACCAATTACAATACAAAATTAAATAAGGAAAAAAAAAACACATTACAACAACATAATAAGACATAAAATAAATATTTTTGGTATTACATATCGTAACTTAACAATAATATAATTAACAAATATACTATTATCTAATACTAACTTAAAACTAAAAACCTTAAAAAATTAAATATAATAACTAAAATACATTATTAAAAGGAGTCCCTTTAGGTAAGGTTCCGAAGATACTGGCAGCGTTCCCCCTTTGGATAGCTAGACTAATTCTTTGTCCGAGGTAGCTGCCAGCTCTTCGGTCTCCTGTGATGTCGACTAATGTTTTTGCTATTTCATCCCATACTAGCACCCGACCCATCTTCCATAGAATGAAACTCATACCGTCCGGTCTCTAAATATTTTTTATTATAATTTGCAATAAGCGACCCTTGTGAATTCATTCAATGTGCATTGAAACAAGTCAAAGTGACAGCGTTTCAAGAGGAGAGGCGGGCAATGTTTTTTTTCATACAAACGTTCTCGACTGATTCCTCCTTGATTTTTATCACTAACGTATTCATTTGCTTAAGTGAAATATAATTTTACTCATTCTATGCTCCTATGTCTTCCATTTTTCCATAACTTGTGTTTCAAAGAAACTAGAAGACCTCAAAACTTCCCAAAATACACAAATTTTTATCCAAACTAAAGATGTCCTGTGTAGAGATTTAATAAGCATTTACATAGGAGCAAAACATAGAGACATACTATAACTACTTATTAATATTATATTATATTTTATATAATTATAGGTAAAATTTCTTTTAGATATGCTCAATTTTCGCGGGAAAATTGTCCAGAGCCAAACCTCGAATTTTGCAATTTTTATATGCATTCAGCGTTAACTACTTTTGTCCCTATCGCACGGTATTTGGTAATGCGTGACAACAATAGTTTTTCCAAATACTTATTGCTCAAAGCACACGCAGAGGCGCGTGAGAGGCGCACAGACACGGTAATATTAATACCGTAGCACAGTGTTGCGCGCGCGGACGTTGAGCACGCACAACCGAACTTTGTGAAGAATCTCTGGTTTTCCTATTTAACACGAATCACATTTGCCCGGATAGCGAAAGGTGCGGGTTCGAGTCCCGTCGGCTGATACGCGTGGAATTTTTTCTAGTAAAAAAAGTCCTTGAATATTGATTTCTTATTTAAAGTACTTGTAGACTTTTCTCTCTTCTTGGTCGTTATTTAGGTGTAGTATTTTTTACTTCGCCAGGTAACCAATTAATTTCATCTTGTAATTATTATCTTGGATGAACAAAAGTTTTGTTTTTGACGTTACGGCCACTTTTATTGATGGCAATTAATTATGTTTGAATAAATTCGATGTTTTCTCCTTTTTCGTGGTGAGAATAGAGTAAGACAGCATATTATGACTTCAACACTTAATAATACAGCCGTCAGGCTATATATATTTTTTTTAAAACCGGATTTTTGTTCCGGGTTCAAATTAATCCTCTGACTGAATCAGAGTCCTTGTTTATGTTTATTTTAATTACCAATTTTTGCTATGTTATATATTTTTATAAATATAATAAGTCTATATAATATTTAACTATGAATTGTAAGTTTAATGGAATGGACTTTTTACTATGTTTTGTTTCGTTCTATCGCGGCTTTGACTATTTCTACTATGTATGTCACACCTGCGTCTATCTCCACGAAGCTTCATCTAAGAACGCGATAGACATAGGTGTGGGAAGTTATTAGCGGCTATCGTAACGAACTATTGGGCTGAGTGGCGATAGACTAGACGATAGTTTGACCGTGTATGCCAACGATATTAAATACCCTAAATACAACACGAGCGGTCAAAATGTGTCCCAATCAAGAAGTGCTTGAACTCCACTCAAGCACTTCTTGGTTCACAGTCACGCGAAAACCGTTGAAAAGTCAAGATGCCGAATAGCTCCGTGAAAAAATGCGAAAAAAATGCTAATAGTGTGTAAAATGTCGTTTTTTTCGAAAGATATCTAATTAATGTTTGTTAATTTAACGCATTTGAAGCAAATTTAATCTAATACTTACTATAAACTAATTTAATAAAAATATTTGTGATATTCAATTGCATGGTCATTTATACGTTGCCGTACAGCCATCTCTTTTGCTTGCGCTCTGTAGCTGCTTCATTACTAACAGCGCATTCAGAATTGCGCGTAAAGTCGAAAAAATAAAGACTATATTCTTCCGCATATTACAATAAGTCGCAAAATTTTACGAGCTTGCATTTCAAACTGTCATGAGTATTTGACAAATGCGTTTTAATTAAGACCTTATACACTATGCATTAAAGGTGACTTCTTACGTTTAAATAATGCCTTATATTGTTTTTGACCACGCGATCAAATCTTACGGAGTTCTGTGGATGGTCCAATGTACTCGTGCCTTTTGGACACGTTTCGGCCACGATTTTGTTCGTGCTGTTGTATCTAGGGTATTTAATATCGTTGGTGTGTGCATGTGAAGGAGCGTACAACTACGCCTTTAGCGCAAATTTTTTTAACGTTAATATTAGCTCAATATGTAGCCAAAGCTTCGTCGCGCAGGTGTGAGAGAAGCATAATAGGTACATTTATTTTCACTTACGATAACGAAACTGGTGAAGACTGGAAATCGTTCAAAAAGTTGTAAATTGTTGACGCTGTGACGACAATCATTAGAGCGGCCGTTAACGCTGTCCAAGCTGATTTCTTACTGCGGCCAAGTACCCAAAAGAGTACTATCGGAGATAATATGTACAACTGCATGTCGATTGCCAAGTACCAAGCATGACCAAGACACTGGAAAAGAAAAAAAAATCTCTCAGGGTCGTCAACTAGGTATAAAATTTGACAATTTGACGTCTTTTTATGTAATGTATAAGCGTTGCAAAGAAGCTTATACGTGCGGTACGTGTAGTTTTTTTTTGACATAATATTATTAAACATATATTTATGAGTGCGGTTCGGTCATGGTCGCGATTTCATACCTATGGTGTATTATCTCTTTAACTATTCAACCAAATTATATGCTTCTTTAACTAAAGGAAAAACTATTTTTTTTAAATACTTAAGACGATGAATCTACTTAATTTGATATTGATAGGTATTCACAAAGAACTTTTGATATTATGAATAATAAACATCACCTAACGGTTTAAATATAAAAAAAAAACACTGTTTGTGACTTAAATTAAAAGGACATTTTGCTGTCGCCGACTTTTAGCTTTGAGATCACTGCGATGCGAACATAACATACAGATGGACAGATAAGATATATTATAGTTATATTTTATTTTTTTAAGCATTTAATTGTTTATCTATATTCTGTCTAGAAGCCTAAGTCTAGAGAAAATTCGACGCGGCCGTCAGGGCCGCGGTAGCATAATGGTCACTGCATTTGCCCGGATAGCGAAGGGTGCGGGTTCGAGTCCCGTCTGCTGCCTGATGCGCGTGGATTTTTTTCTAGTAAACTTTTCTTTAGATTTAAAGATATATTTTTTTTATGTGTAAAGTATGTATATGCTACTCTAGCATCAAAACTATAATGCCTGTTTTTTTATTTGGCTCAAGTAATTGTCTACCACCTCTTATGTCATATGCTTATTAAAGTAAAACTTTTATTACATCTCCACAAAGCTTTGCGTTCCTCTTTAGCATGTCGCATTAAATTTTTAACTGTTATTAAAAATCAGACCTAATATACAAGTATCAGTCGTTTTTTGGTAGAAAGCTCACCCTTTTTTTTATAACGCAAGTAAAAAATGCTGTTTACAGACGACGGCGCCATTAAGAGACACACCGCCGAACGGACCTCACACCTGGCTCCCGCAAGTCTTACGAACCCCCCAGTGGCTGCCCACCGAGGACCCCGCAACTGTTACGGGCGCTTTACGGCATAATATCCGCTAAAAAAGTCCTGCGAATACCTTCTACACTGCTTAATGCGAAGCCGTGGGGTCCCCGTTTAGGGATTCTTCCACGAACCCTGGCAGCTCTGGTTTGATTCCCAGTAATGGAAGGATGTTTTTTTTATTTTCCACTTTTTCTTTTTATAAGCCATTTTTTTATTGTTTGTCCATGTTACTTGAATAAATTACTATTGATAAAAAATACTCACCATTGTTGGAGGATTTAATAAATTCTGCACGTATAACAAGGTTGACCACCAGTACTGTCTACAGTTATTTGTACTCCATGCTACTATAAACCAATAAGGGCCATCGGTCATTCGGTTTTGGAATGATGCTTGCATGAGTATAGCTGTGGCCAGAATAGGGAACATGCGCAAGAGCCGATTCAAGTAGAACAGGTGAAGGTTTTTGATAAGGCTCACTATAACAATAATAAGCACATTGAACTATTAAGACGAGATAATGAATGAGTTATGTGAATGATTAAACGTCGAATTTTGTGATTAAAAAATTATGGGTTATATTCTAGTAACTAGAAATTTTTGGATACAATAAGAACGAAAAATACAGTGTTGAAAGTTCTCGTTTTCCCTATTATATTCAATACAAAGGTCTGTTCCTGTGTGTATAAAAAACTGATGTTGATGATGACACCTAGTATGAATAAGAATTGAAAAATCGGTTTTTTCATATAATTATCGTAAATATTTTCATACTGCAAAAGAGAGCTGTTTGCGCCATCTCTTAGAGAAAAATTGAAAGAAATTAATATTTTAACACTGGCGTTGCAATACATTTATAAAAATTTGATATATGTAAGAAAAAACTATGATGCATTTGCAAAACAAAAAGTCAAACCCATAACTTTAACACGAGATTTAAGAACAAGCTTGCCGTTCCATGACTCCAAAAATCAAGAGGTTCATTACTGGGTTGTAGTATTGCATTGTTTAATAAAGTTCCCCTAGATTTGATTGAGCTTCCACTGACTAAATTTAAATCTCAGATCAAGAATACTCTTATGAATAAGGGCTATTATAGAGTTGGTGATTATCTCAATGGTCGAAATGCATGGACATAGTGTTTCTTGTAATTTGTTATTAAATGGGTATTAGTCATTTTTCATAACAGTATTTTACCTATCTAATGCCGCTTCATATATACTAAACTAGTGGCCCGCCCTCGCTCCGGGGTAGAATTGATCAAAATCCTTTCTTAGCGGATCCCTACGTCATAACATCTACCTGCATGCCAAATTTCAGCCCGATCCGTCCAGTGGTTTGGGCTGTGCGTTGATAGATCACTATGTTAGTCAGTCACCTTTGAGTTTTATATAAGTATAGGGTGAAATTGAATGTTTCTATGAAACTTCGTGAGATTGTTGGGTTATGTGTATAGAGTATGCCTGTTTTTTTTCGGATTTTTTGAAGTATATTTTTTTTCATGTATTTATTTATAATGTGTGTATTTTTATGTCCTTTCCTCCTTTTGAGTAGTTATTCGTTTTAAACAAACAAACTTACATATCCAGTGAAAAACAACTAATAAATAAGCACTTCTAAAAAACGGAAAAACATTAAATTCCACCGTGGGTCAACGACCGACCGCGCCCGCCAGCCGTTGAGTGAGTAGGTACCTCTACACAGAGCTCAGCTGACTCGTTTGATTCCACACAATACAATAAAATCGTCTTAGATGCCTTTATTGAAATTGAAATAATAAGCACAAATGTCATCTTCTCTTAAGCAGAGAAAAACTTTAAAAGTTAATAATAATTTTGTCACGATTGGAAATAGGCAAATGTTAAACAAAAAGAAATACTTATTGCAGTTCAATACTTGGGTCAGAATGAAATTTATAACCCGGTATTCAAAAGTACTTACGAGACCGGCGATGTAGGTAGGTACAACGAGGAACGAGGAACATATTCATTTTTTTCACTAGAACTTTTTATCAAATCAATCACACTGGTAGTACACAATTAGTTGTTTCTAATCAAAAAGTATTTACATTAGCAATAAAAAGAGACTTAAATTATTATCTGCAAAATTGTTGCTCTAAACCACCATTTTGCTGCAAACAAAGGTAGGCATGTTTGCGGACGTGTCTTTTCACCTTTTTTAAAGTGTCCCTATCACTACTCACTGCACAAAATGCAACTTCTATGGTTTGGGGACTCATTCGTAAACCAAACCTACTTCGTCACACTCGCGATAGCAGTACACCATCTCTAGGTATTCTTGGTTCGTATACCGAGGCATAATGAAATTATCACAGTGTATGTCACTAAGTCAAAAAATGCGCACGCCCACGCGCGATTGATATACTTGCGACTGCGTTTTGCATGCAATCAAAGCAAACCACCGCGTGCGGGGTAGAGGGGAGGTGGGCGGAATTCACATCATCAAAGACGCCGCAACCGGCGCTAGTTGCCAGCGAGGGGGCGCGCCGCCCGCCCGTGCTTGCCGCAAAACAACATATTATTACGTGTGTGTGTGTGTGTGTGTGACTGTGGCTGTGATTAAATGTGTTGGGAATTTCATGACGTGGGCAAATCAGACACGAAGAGTTCCTTCCTTCACTAAGCTCGTAAGTTATGCCAATTTGCTCTGTATGGTTTTTCCCAATTTAATAAGCTTGTTTGTTTGTGCTTAAGTTTTAATTAAACGAGGCAACTAACATTAACAATAAAAAAGAAGTTCTTACACTAACAGACAGGCTTTACCGATTTAAAATTACAGTCATATTAACTTTATAGGATTTTTAATTGCTCTAACAGAAGATTTATTTTATTGATTAATTACCTGTGCTTTATGAAACATCAAAGGTATTGTGTATCAGTGAATAAATAATTATAATATAGCATCTAAGACTATTTTATTGTAATGTTTTTAAATAGTGTGGATCAAAGCGGAGAGTAGGTAAGTGCCGAGTCATCTGTGCGTGTAGTAGGTACCTACACAGGCAGCCGCGGACGTCGCCCCGACCGGCGCTGATCTCGACTGGAGGCATAATGAAGGCATTCATTAAGTTTCCGTTTTTTAGTAGTGCTTATTTTAAGTTGCTTTATAACTTCTATGTAGACGTGTTTAAAATGAATAATTACTCATAAGGAAGAAACGACAAAAAAATAACCAAATAAAAAATTAAAAAACGAAAAATTTTATTTTAAAAAATCCGAAAAAAATCATGCATACTCTATACACGTAACCCAACAATCTCACGAAGTTTCATAGAAACATTCAATTTCACCCTGTATATATATTTATATTCTAAATGATGTAATGGAAGGTGACTTCAGACGTATCTCTGAAGTCATTTTTCAACTTGACTCTGTATTTAACAATACTGGAATTGGTCCATGCTAAGGGTACTGGAATTAAATTTTACTCATTATTTACTTATAATATCGATGTTAATTAAATAATATTCACTTACTGTGAGATAGTTTAGATGCTGTTGTGTAAACTAATAGAAGACCACTGATCATGAAGAAAGTGTCCACTGTGATAGTGGCACTCGTTAACCATAGAGAAGTAAACGAGGTCATGAACTGAAAGAAAGAAAACCATATCTATCTATCAGCGACCAAACTTAATATTTAGAAAAATAAATGTCATATAAGTACTCAAAGTTCAGAATGAAAACACTATGTTAAGTCATAAGTTAAACATACTGAACTGGTATCAGACTAGATTCGATGCAACCGTGGATTGTGTTCTAATACTTTTTCTTTAGAATAAGACAACTCAGAAGGACACATTTCTAGGCGTTGGACGGTAGCATGAATCGACTGGCGACTGAAAAAGCCATCGCTTGTATTCAGTTTCGACTGCTAGTAACGACAAAAAACAAATTGTATGTTAAAATGGAGTTCTAGAGGAAGCACTGCCGTGGCTATTGCTACGAAGCCGCGACGTCACCAGCGGAGAAGACTTCGATGTTAATGAATATACTGGGCCCACTCGATTATAGAAATCAAGAATTCAATGTCATATGAATCTTTCATTTTGAATGCCTTTACATACGAGTATACAATATAATTAAATCACTGCCTCTACGGACAAAATGAGCGAAGCGAACATGAGACAAGTTTGGGCGCGGCACGGGTAGAGGTTAGCAGGCGAGAGGGGCACCGGGCCAGTCGCTCGTAGCTATCGGACAACCGCTGCGTGTGAATTGCAGACGATGATTATTTTGTTGGTGATATCGCCAACACGCTGCGTCTGTTGTTGTCTTGTTGGCAGATGTTGCGAGAAGTCGTTTGCGTTAGTTATTTGCTGCGTTTTTATACAAAAACGTAGCATCGAATAAGGACGGCTGTTAAGCCGGCACGCAGACGTCGGAACATTGTCCATCTGAGTTAAGACTTATACAATATGGTTAATTCGAAGAGTTCGATAGCGTAGTGGTAAGCTCATTCAGTTAGTGATCATGACAGGTGAACAATTAAATTCCCAGTCATAGAGGTACCAAAAATGTACTATCTCGTGCTTTAAACGGCACTTTGAGCCTATGATCACAATAGGCTCAACTGTAATCGTCAGCATCCATTGATGCGCACTAGATTCGCTTATTAGGGCATGGCCCTTTCTCCCGATCTAGCTGTTAGGAAAAACTTATGCCCATGCCAGAATACGCTTATGATGATAAGAATAAAGCTCTCTTACTTCAACCATTTCCAGAGGATTGGCAGGAACGAATGACATCTGCGTACTAAAAGAATGGCCAAGGATCACCCACAACATCGCAATGGATCTGACACCATCCAAACAGTGAAGAGCATTGGGATTTGGGCGGAATGTGAAAAATTTTCTAGAATTCGTGTATACGGAAAAGGAAGTATACAGCGTATTGGCCTGCTTTGGATCTGTTGAAAAAACATGTGTTTTTTTAAACTAGTATCAGTAATTATGGTTAACAAGTGAAAACTAAATCCAAAAATAAATTACTTGCAATAATACAATTTCAAGTCATTTATTATGAAATTCAAAGCAATTTATAAAAATCTATGTGACTACAAAAATCTGTCACCAAATTAAAGTGGTTTTTTTTTTTAATAAATTGATTTATACAAACTTATGGATTTAAAAAATATATATACTGGAACAATGAAACTAAATTATGTATTGTATTGGACAGTGCATTTATGTATTCAGCTGCACATTTTATTTAGCTTTGGGACCCATGTTGCTCAATTCACTACTTTCGTTAGATGTTTATAAAGAATAGTGTATTATTTTACATTTTCAAAATCACATAATTATACCATTATTTGACCAACCATAAATGAAAGTTTATTATGAAAGGTATTGAATTATTTTTTGTTACTATTGACCACTGTGCCACATCTAATATATAAAATTCTCGCGTTACGGTGTGCGTAATTGAACTACTCCGATTTTCGTGAAATTTTGTATGCATATTCAGTAGGTCTGAGAATCGGACAAAATGTATTTTTCATCCCCCTATATGTTAGGGGTGGTCCACAGTTAATTTTTTTTGAAAACTTTTTTTTTATGATACATCAGCCTTTCTACCACCAACCCCTATTTTTTATGTACGAAGTTCGCTGGGACAGCTAGTAATTTATAAAAGGAAGTTATGATTTTATCTATTTGTCGATAGTTACAGTTAAAGAAATAATTAGCAAGCACTATCTTATAATGACTCATTCCCAATTTATGTTTTTGATAGTAATATCATAATCCCTATTAATCTTAGAATTGGTATTCATATTGAAATCAAAGTAAAACACTTTGTTATTGTTTTCTAATAAATATTTTTTTTAGATAAAACCAATAAATCAGTGATATTTATTTCATCGCTAAGCTTACTGATATAAATACACAGCTATATTTAAAAATAAAGTAAAAAATTAAATAGTACAGTTATTATTTTGTATAATAGATTCAGTAATTATATCTTATGCGTCGTCTGAATTATGAATTTATAAAAACACTAGTGGCCCGCCCTCGCTTTGCTTCGGTGTACAGCTGTAGTGTAGGCTATACTTTAAATTCAAGGGCTTGTATTATATACAATGACTTCCTTCATAATAATTATAAACCTTCCATTCCAAGTAAAAAAATCGTTGCGTAGTTTAGGACCCGTTGTACCGAATGCAACATTGTTCTGCTGTTCCGATTTGAAAAATTTTTTTTGTATTGGACAGTGCATTTATCGAGGAAGGCTATAATAGGCTATATATTACCACGCTACGACGAGTAGCAGCAGAACATCGATGAAAAATGTTGCAGGAACGGGTTAAAATATTCCATTTGTGAGATTCTGTTGCTTACGCTAGGTAAACGGTTAAAGTTACACATAAATGAAGTCTGACGGAATTCTTCCCCTTTAACAGTTCTGTAAAAAAAGTCCACGCAGCCTATGTACATATTTTAAGTTTGACTCACTATAAACCTTTTTCTTCAAATTAAGACGGGTGAAACCGCAGGGGGCCTCTCGTTGTGACACAACTGTAATAGTTAGAAATATGGTATTGCGGACTTTTTTGTAGATATTGGTATCCTCTATAAAACTTTAGTACATCACTTTGCTCTATTATCAATGACTTCTGCAATGTACGCGATATAAGGCTATTTTTTGGTATATTTTACACACGTTGGGTTACAACCAACCACAACTATTTTGAAAATACACTATAGCCTATATTAATCAGTGATAATGTAGCAATTAATTGGTGAAAGAATTTTTAAAATCGGACCAATACTTTTAGAGCCAATTCGTTACAAACATACTTACATACAAACTTTTCCTCTTTATAATATTAGTATAGATAATTCAGATGACGCATCCTGAAACTGCTCCAATACTCTCTCGATCGAGAGAGCGATCGAGCAGAATCAAGGGTCCAAAGTATTCGTACAATCTCTTGGAAGAAGCCATCTGATGAAGTTGACCACAGCAAGTGGGGAAGTTGTTGCTTCAAAGCCGGCAGTCCTTTCGGAAGTGGAAGACTTCTACAGCCAGTTATACGCATCACATGCATCTTGACCCGATCCCGGAAATGAGGATTCTAGAGCCACATTAACACGCCACTACACCGAAGACCTGCCAGAAGTCAGTATTGGCGAAATCGAGATTGCTCTTGGACAGCTTAAAAATGGAAAAGCCCCTGGAGAGGATGGTGTTACAACAGAACTCTTGAAGGCTGGAGGTAAACCCGTACTGAGGGAGCTCCAAAAGCTTTTTAACACTGTCCTGTTCGAAGGGAGAACTCCGGAGGCGTGGAGTAGGACTGTGGTCGTCTTGCTCTTTAAAAAGGGGGACAAGACCCTACTTAAGAACTATCGACCCATATCCCTTCTAAGCCACGTCTATAAGCTGTTCTCAAGAGTGATCACGAACCGTCTTGCGCGAAGACTTGATGACTTCCAACCACCGGAACAGGCTGGGTTTCGGAGCGGATACGGCACCATAGACCACATCCACACAGTGCGGCAGATTATACAGAAGACTGAGGAGTACAATCAGCCCCTGTGCCTAGCATTTGTGGACTATGAGAAGGCCTTTGACTCGATTGAAATCTGGTCTGTCTTGGAGTCCCTGCAGCGTTGCCAAGTCGACTGGCGATACATCCAAGTGATAAGATGTCTCTACGAAGCCGCCACCATGTCTGTCCAAGTACAGGATCAGCAAACAAGTCCTATACCGTTGCATCGTGGAGTGAGACAAGGGGACGTTATTTCCCCGAAATTGTTCACTAATGCAATGGAGGATATGTTCAAGACGCTGAACTGGAAAGGACATGGCATCAACATAAATGGGGAACGCATCTCTCACTTGCGATTTGCAGACGACATCGTCATCATGGCAGAAACCCTGCAGGACCTACAACAGATGCTGAATGACCTGGCTGACTCTTCTATACGCATCGGCCTACGGATGAACTTGGATAAAACCAAGGTCATGTTCAATGAACATGTTATACCGGAACCGATTGCAATACACGGTGCCGTTCTCGAAGTTGTTCAAAAATATGTATACCTCGGGCAGACATTGCAGTTGGGTAGAAACAACTTTGAGGACGAGGTGAATAGAAGAGTTCAGCTAGGTTGGGCAGCGTTTGGGAAGCTACGTCAAGTCCTGACATCGTCGATCCCACAGTGCCTAAAGACGAAAGTCTTCAATCAGTGCGTCCTATCTGTGATGACATACGGAGCCGAGACGTGGACACTGATGGTACGGCTGGTCCACAGGTTCAAAGTCGCTCAGCGCGCTATGGAAAGGGCTATGCTCGGCGTTTCTCTGAAGGATCGCATCAGAAATGAGGTAATCCGACAGAGAACCAAAGTTATCGACATAGCCCACCGGATTAGCAAGTTGAAGTGGCAGTGGGCTGGCCATATTTGCCGAAGAACCGATAACCGTTGGGGTAGACGAGTTCTGGAGTGGAGACCGCGTCTAGGCAAACGTAGTGTAGGACGTCCTCAGACACGATGGAGTGACGATTTGCACAAGGTGGCTGGCAGGAGCTGGATGCGAATAGCCCAAGATCGCTCTGAGTGGCGTGCATTTGGAGAGGCCTATGTCCAGCAGTGGACTATGATGGGCTGTTGATGATGATGGATGATGATAGATAATTCAGATGACGCATCCTGAAACTGATGCGAAACTTCAATAAATAAATAAATCAGTCCATCTATACCGTTGAAACTTGTTTAATTTAAGAAATATTAACAGAATGTACTATACAAAATAATCCCCTTACTATTTCATTATTTACTTTGTTTTTAAATATAGATGTGTATTTATATCAGTATGCTTATCAATTAAATAAATGACACTGATTAATTGCTTTTATCTTAAAAAAAATATTAATTAGAAAACAATAACAAATTGTTTTGCTATGATTTCGATTTAAATACCATTTCTAATATTAATAGGGATTATGATACTAAAAGTGCATCTATACCGTTGAAACTTGTTTTATTTAATGAGTGGTGTGCGTGAAAACCTAAGAAATTAATATTTCTTACCTTTCTCAAGTATAACACTATGTCTGACGTCATAACCGGTGCTCAATATAATTAAAAGGCCAATAAGAGAAAATATGACCCTGGAAAATATAAAACATGAATAGAATAGACTGTGAAAATACAAGTTTAGAGGAATTAGTATCTGCATGTGGCTTTATCATAAGTGTTTTAGTCAACACGATTTTTACTTACACGGCAACAGTATCTGCTGCTACCCAAGGTTTGTCATTTGAAAGACGACAGAAACTCTCTTCAAGCTTTAAATTTCCAATTGCATTTGGAGTTACAGCTTGTACAACATTCTTCGGAGAGCAAACTTTTGGTAAACAGAGCGCCAATTCCAAGCGAGCATGAGATATTGGACTATCTTCTGCCACTCTATATCGAAAAAAGGTAGTTGTTTTTATTATCATATTCTTCCAACAAAGGTATTCATACTTAATATTGGTTGTGGTCAAAGTTTTATTATCTATTGAAAATCTTGAAGCGTGGTCGCAACTAGAACAAGCTATCGAACTTTTCGCTTTTTTTCTTTTAAAAATATATAACTTTACAGATGCGTTGTCTACAAAACTTGCTTTCATTTTCATAGCTTTACCTACTTTACCTATTTTTTAGATAAGCTTAGACATAAAAAAAATGTTTTGCGTTTCTTTATTTGCTATTGGGTTTGAATGAAGATTACTGACTGGTAGCTTGCATCCATCAAAACAATCATGTAAGAGAAAATTGTCGTGTAACTATAACATGTATTTTAAGTTGATATTATAACAAATTTACCGTAACAAAGACTGTTCTGGATTATCTCCAAGTAATATATTTAGATTATTTCTTCCTCGTGTAAACAATTTAAGTCCGTTTAGTTGGTTATCATCTAATATAACATTTTGGGAGAAATTCATAGGAGGCCATGTAATGTTTGGCCAGGGTATCTGCGGTATTTCTGGTAATATAGGTAGACTAGGCAATTCGATTTCATCTTGACGTAGAGGGACTTCTACGACGCAATATTTTCCTTCAATTGACATTTCTTCAACTTCTTTCTTGATCCCTAAACACTGGAAGTAATTTCCCATATCTCTGAGATTACCTCCCAGAATTCCACGTGGTGTTCTTACACCTGAATCTAAAACTGTTAAAGAGAGAGAGAAAGTTTATGTTAATAATGAGCTTTGCTAACTATAATGTCACCAATAAGTATCACAGTAGATTAACATAAATCATCCGAATTCCTGATTTAAGATAAGGGTTTTTAAGACCAAACAATTTTTTTTTTTTAATGAAGTCATTAAGGTCATGAACAATAATTCAATCTTAAGCTGGTTTTGTGTTCGATTCTAACCTGCAGCAATAAAGTCTCCACCAGTCCATAGTTTATGGTTATCCATACTTCAATTCATACTAAAATTATCTCACGCTTAATCCACTGTACCGCTTTATATGAAAACAGAGCTAGTTTGAGTCCCGGAGAATAGACATAAATTAGGTAGTTTTATTCAAAAATTTGGTATGGGATGTCAATTATTTCACGCAAACGAAGTCGCGGGCGTCTCCTTGTTTTTATAATATAAAACCCCTTTTACATTTACCAAATGAGGATTGTACCTCTATTTATTATTTATTTAAACTCTATTGCCACAATTATAAAATGGACAAAAGGCGGACTTAACGCTAAAAGCATTCTCTGCTAGTCAATCTTCAAAATTTTTTACACTTAAGCTAAGCAGCAGTATTGTGCCTACACCACAGGCCGGAGAGAACGTTGGTCAATTTTGACTATTTGTTTAGAGCCACCTACGATAATAATCCGACATTTAGTTGGATTCACTTGTATTCCAAAGTCAGCAGACCAAGCACTGATACGTTGCAATTCATAATTCAACATGGAGATGGCCATATCAACATCCTCAGCACAAGTCTGGGTATAGATTTGTAGGTCATCAGCGTAGAAATGGTAAGAGCAGCTAAGCGAGTAGGAAAGGAAGTTAATGAAGGCAGAAAACAACAAAGGAGAGATAATACCACCCTGGGGTACACCTGCATTCAAAGTATTCCACTGAAAGACTGAAAGACTGAAAAGGAGTGAGAAGATTATTGGAAAATATGAAAGAGGATATCTGATGATGAGCAACTGCTTCAAGAACTTTAGAAAGTAAGGGAAGTATGGAAATAGGCATGAAGTTACTAAGTAGCTGAGGACAGGAAACTTTCGGCAGAGGAAGAACAAAAGCTTTACGCAAAGCTAGAGGAAAATCACTGTTTAGAAGGGAGAAGCTGATAATGTGTTCAATAGCTGGAAGAATATAGTGTAAAATATTGACTATCAATTCTCTGCTGACGTCATTCGAACCAATAGCTTTTGACTTGATAGAAAGAATAATTTTACGGATATCATCACTTGTCACTGGAGACATAAAGGAAAATAAAGGAATCAGAAAGAGATTGGGCTTGGAGAAATGATTTTGACTGTACTATTTTTAATATGTGGGTCAAGTGTAATACTACTTCTACTACTGGTTGTGGAAAAGTGATTATTGAAATCGTTAAAAGAGAAAGGATAGGAGTCAGGTTGCTCGGAACATTTGCCCAGGCCCAAAGAATGGAGAAACTTCCATAAATTTGCCGAAGATGAGTTGCAGATATTGTCATGAAAATATAATAATAATAATAAATAAATAAATATTCCCAACACTCACACCAATTAGCCTAGCCCCAAAGCAAGCACTGTAGGTTTATGTTATGGGATACTAGGGAAACGGATAGAATACATAATATAAGTATAACTATATAGAAATACATATGAAACATCTATGACTAGAGTACAAATGCTCGTATTTATCACACAAACATCTGCCCCCACCGGGATTCAAACCCAGGATCTCTCGAGTCGGCGACACCATGAAGCCCGGCGTATAAACCACTCGGCCAAGGAGGTCGTCGATATTGTCGTATAGCTGCCCTCACCATTCTATTGCACCTATTACGAGCCACCTTATATAAAGACCAATTTCCCTCCGATCTGTCACGCCTGAAAACACGAAAATCACAATCTCGTCGCGCCATGGCCATACGAACGCCTTGGCTGATCAAAGGGGCGGGAGGTCGCTTTACCCTGATAGGCTTCAGCGGAGCATGGGCATCGTAAAGTTTGAGAATACAATGATTAAAGTTGGATACTTTCTCATCCATTGACGAGGCACCATACACCGTCGAGAAGTCAAGCTTAGAAGCATTCCGTCCTAATCTGTCATGGTCTAGGCGAGCGAAGTTACGCATCCACACAACAGTACGTTTAATTTTCGGTGGTTTTAATCTATACTGTAGAAAGATAAGGTCATGTTTTGAAAATCCAGGTGCTGTAAGCTGACCGTGATTAATAACAAAATCAGGAGAAGTTAAAATTAAGTCAAACCATGTGTCCTGAGAAAGGTTATGATGGGTTGGATTTGATGACAGAATAGAGAGATTTAATGGACTTGACAATATTAAGAAGTTTAAGGGAGCGCGATGTGCTACACAATAGATCAGTGTTGAAATCACCCATAATTATGTGATGTCCGTATTCCGAGCAGAGTGGTTCAAGAACAGACTCGAGATGGGAAAAATAATCAATACCGAGTGGAGAATAGACGACTCCTAAAACAACTTTAACTCTTACTGGAAACTTCAAGGAAGATGTATTCCGCAGAACTGGAGTATGGGGAGGGAGATGAATAAAGAATTTTATAGGAGATGTCGTAACGTACTCGTAAGTATATGGCAACACTACCACCGCCCTTGCCAGTTCTATCATTGCGGTTTAAATTGTGACCAAGAAGTAAGCAAAGTGAAGAGGCAAAGGTTTTAACCAGCTTTCCGAGACAAGAATAGCGTGAGTGGTAGCAGAAGAAAAGGTATCAAGAAGATCTGAGTAATGAGAAGGTATGCATTGCGCATTTATATGAAAAACGTAAAAAAGAATGAGGTGCAATTTTGAAAGAGCTGTGCAATACGGAGCCCAACGTTTCTGGTTCTGAAAAAGAAATGGAAGAAGAAGAGCTAACGTCACGAGCAAAATAAAAGAATCATCATGATCAGACTTAATATTAAATAAAATATAACCTAATTAATATATAAGTATATAAAAATCTATACATAATAAAAAAAGTAAATATGCAGAATAATACCTGTCCTGCCGGTTTGTTGGGCGATATAAAAAAAGTTCGTAGCAATCAGTCACAGTGGCGGTTTCATGTCATTAAAAAGAAAAAATAAACAAGTGAATTGAAGACGGTAATTTTAGTTAATTAACATAGTATTAATTAGTGAACTACCCGAAATATAAAGTTATCGAATATAATACCCGTAGAAAAAGTAAAAATACACTAAACTATAAATTATTATGATATTTTCACATACTACTCTACCTTTTGGTGTAAATCTTATGGAAAATTTCATATATAATTGAGAAAATCACCCTTGTGGATTTTGGTGTAAATCTTTTGGAAAATTTTATATATAATTTAGAAAATCACCCTTGAGGATATTGAGGTAGATAGATGTATTATAAAGAGGTAGGTATTAAAACTGAATATAATCTATGTACTTACATTGCATCAAGAGCATTGTGTCATCATTCACTATGTATGTTAGTTGTCTTGCACATTCTTCTGAATCAAGGACATTTTCATAAAGACTTACATCTAATGCGTTATTGCTAACCAGTGGATCCAGCACAAGGATAGCATTAACATTTAAAATAAATATGACTTTTAAGAGAAAAAAAGTGTTTGGCCACATAATTTAACAATTTGCAAATTGCAACAATTTCAATGACTACCAAATTAAAATCTTTATTACTGAAAGTCTAAATGACAATAAAAATAAATGATTGCTAAAGTAATGAATTAGATTTTCATTCGTTAATCTTATCTACATATATCGCGCCTAATCTTTGTTTTATGGACATAGAAAAAAAATCCAGTTGATAAACTTTTTGATCGTACCTAGTCAGGTCATAAATTCTGTCACATGTTTAATATAAAATAATTGAAACAAGTTTATTCATTATGTAATCATTTATATACCAAAATGAACTTAACAAAATATAGATTATTTTATTGATAAATTTAAAAATATTGGCCTTGATCTAAATTATTCAAAATACTAACTATTTATTCCAGAATCAAAATTTTCACAGGATCAGTTACAACGCATTATTACCGAATTTTCGGCTTTAGCTCCTAATATTAAAATTCTAGATAACAAATCACACCGTCTACTAGGGTCCCCCATATTTGACGATGCTATTCCGATTTTTATTGATGAACAAATTTCTAAATTTCAGCAGTCCTCCGAAAAAATGTTAAAAAATAATCCTCACATGGCTTTGTATTTAATACGTTTTTGCGCTTTTGCCCCCAAATTCATAATTTTTTTACGTAGTACTCATTTTTGGCTTTTTCCGGGGCTACTGTCATCTATTGACAGTTCGCTCAGGGATACACTTTCGAAAATTCTAAATTGTTCATTTTCTGATAACGCCTGGAAGCAGGCCTCTCTCCCTGTTCGTTTCGGAGGACTTGGTACTCGCCATATTTCATATATTGCCCTTCCCGCTTTTCTGTCTTCTGCAAGTGGTACAGCCGAGCTTTATAATAAAATACTATGTCCTTCTTTAGGCGTAGTGGAGCTGGCTCACCTTGCAGAGGCCAGGAATGCTTGGTGCAGGGCATGCCCGGGAGTAGATCTACCTTCCTCCTTATTTTCACAGAGGCAACGGGACGATCACTCTGAAGACGCAAACAGAGTGTGATCTTTTAGCTTCCTCTGAAAACGCAGCTGAGCGTGCTCGCCTCCTAGCGGTCTTTCAAGTAGAATCTGGTTACTGGCTGCAAGCTCTTCCTTCAGCCGATGTCGGGACTCTGCTTGACAGAAGCACTCTATCACTAGCAATTTCACTCAGACTCGGCGTCAAAACCAATCACCCCCATCGTTGTCGTTGCGGAACTCGCGTCGGTGAGTTGGGACACCATGGTCTCTCATGCCAAATCAGCGCTGGTCGAGTCTCCCGTCACGCCTGCATCAATGACGTCATCCGCAGAGCTCTTGTCGCAGTCAATGTGCCAGCGGTCCTAGAGCCCAGCGGCATCTTCCGAGACGATGGCAAGAGAACTGACGGAATGACGCTCATTCCCTGGAAGCAGGGTCGTCCTCTTGTGTGGGACGCAACTAGCGTGGATACGCTTGCTCCGTGCCATACAAGTAGTACCTCCCTGGCTGCAGGCGCGGCGGCGACCTCCGCCGAGTGCTCCAAGCGGCGCAAATATTCAGCTCTCAATGAGAGCTACATATTTGTGCCATTTGGTGTGGAGACCTTGGGACCATGGGGTCCAAGCGCTCGTTCCTTCTTTAAGGAATTGTCTAAGAGACTCACCGAGGTGACCGGTGATCAAAAGGCTGGCAGCTACCTCGGCCAATGGATTAGCCTCGCTATCCAACGTGGAAATGCTGCCAGCCTATTGGGCACCATTCCTGACGGCGCACTATGTGGAGATCGAGTCGGTTTCGGGTCATAAATCTATAACTTCCATGTTTTTATAGATATACAGCTGATTTTTTTTTAGGTAATCTGAGATAAACGTACTTTAAAATAATATACAGTCTATGCATATAAAAATATATTTAATAATTGTAAAAAAATACAAAACATGAAATATTGAAAAATTATCATAAATTTACGACTAATTTTAAACAATGTGACCTAAATGTTATAATTAATACAAAATAAACACATAAAATTACTCTTATTAATTAAATATAATAAGAAAAAGAAAATAACATAGAACTATATTATTCTACTAGCTCTACAGCTTCATCTATAAGTTCCATAGACTTTTTATTGGAAGGTTTTCTTAAACTTGTTATGTAAGGGTCTGAAGTGTACAAAAGTGTATGTAAAACGTCTTCATTTGTAGCTACTCTAGAGCATTTTCTAGCATGATGAAGTCTGAATCGTTTATAGTCTTTGTTCCTTGATTCCTGGGCATCTTCGGAGAGCTGTCCAAGAGGTAACACTGAATAATGCCGAATTACACTTTCCCCATGAATTAGGACTTTATGGACAGATGATGGCATATAATACCACATATATTTACTAACATATCGTTGTGTTGTATCGAAAGCATACTGTCCAAATTTCGTAGCATTAATTACTTTTCCGCTAGACATAACTTGAAGTAAAACATAAAATCGTTTTATCAATTCCTCATCTACACCGGTAATTTCTGCAGTGCACTGATAATTTTGAAAAAATCGTCTAGCTGTATTACTGTCATTACTGTTACCAGAACCTTGCTTAGTTCTTCTCTGAACCTTCTTTGTACATATGTCTTCTTTTGTTTTTTCAAATCTTTATTTTCTGTCGTTGTAGCAGACCATTTTTCAAAGCCTACATTATAAGATATATGTAAAATTAGTTCCATGAATCTAATCCAGCAATGTAAAGCCGAAAGCCCATATTGATAATAATTTTCGTCAACAGGTTTATTTTGTACTTTTTCTAAATTGTTCATCTCTGTAGGTCTTGCACCACAAATAGTACATACAGCACCTGATGAAGTTTCTGACAAAACTTGAGCCACTTTCCCGTCAACCATTGTCAAAAATAATGTGTGTTTGATTTCAATACTTTCACCATTTTTATTGATTAAGCTTGTTGTGAGAGCGTTTCTTTGAGCTATAATTTCATTAACTACACTTGTAGTTTTCTCTGGTGTCTCTTTTGAAAATTCTATTAAAATGGGCCTACAAAATCTTACTGATGATGGAACAGGGTTTTCCCACAAAGTTTCATTTGTATTAATATCAACAAGTTTCAGAGGTACTAATGAAGATATAAATAAATTTGTGTCAGAAATTAACTCATCCTCTTCAGTTAAGACTTGCTTGTATTCACTTTGTCCGCTTGAGCCATCACAGCCCCATTTCGAATACAGCATTAAATGTTTTTTGCCAGCTTTGTGTACACCATTGATTTTCAAAATTCTTGCAATAGTGTGATCCAGCAGATCTTGCAGTTTTATTTTTGCTATAATATTATTAATTTCTATGCTTGATCTTGGTGGGTAGCACATACCTTTAGCTTCCTGAATTGATTTATATGACGGAAATAATACGCAGTTCTTCGCAATTAAGCAATTTCTCATGTTTTCATACTGTGCCATGTTAAGGTCCAACTCTATAAAAATACTGAGAACTTCATCTTTAGCGTACGCTGTTAAATGTGCCGGTTCATTTAAAAGATTTTAACGTATTTCACTTTTTTTATCTATGGGTAATACTCGTAAAATTTCGACAATGAATGCTTCTTCCGTTTCCCCCTGAGATTTCAATCCTTGAAGATATGAATTCAGTATAAAATCAAGGCCACATGTTTCAAGCAACTCCTTGTTTTTTCGTCTTTGTGTTCTATCGGAACTGTCTTCGTAGGTTTTAGAAGGGCGTCCTCGCTTCCCCGTCGATGTCGAAGGTTCAGATTCACAAGTAGGATCTTCCAGATTTACTGTGAATATGGCATTCAACCACAGGCTATTCTGATTTAAAAATTTTTCTTTATTTCTGCCAGATTTAGTGTAGCGTTGACGAAAGTTCGTAATAAGATTTTTTTGTACACTCGCGACAATTTTAGCGATATTTGCCTCAGAAAAGTTGATAAAATTATTCCGTGTATAACTTGTTAAAGCAACAACATAATTCCCGTCACTTTCAATCAAAACAAGACATAGGTCGCGTCTGGTACATTGGAATTCACTCATTGCGAGAGAGTAGGTGGTTAGATACACTTTTAGTAACGACAATAACGAACGAAAAACAGTTTGTAATTATTCAGTATGCAGATGCTCTATTTTATATTAAATAACTGATTTGAAACGTATGCAAAGTATGGGAATAAAAACTATTTATCATTATGTGGTTACTCGGTTTCCTATGTGTTTTATTGATAATTTATTTTGTAGGCGAACTAAAAATGGTGAGAAATACTCGATACATTATCAAAACATAAACCGCAATTAATAATATATCATAAGTGTAACCTATATCAACTAATAAAACAAATAGATTCGCCCACGTATTTTTAAGAAATTATTACTATTTCATATTATGATAGATAGCATTATGTTGTGCAATGAAGTTGCAACTTTTTTTTTCTTCCTGTAAAAAAATATTAAATTTCCTATCAAATAACATCATTTACAGACCTTCGGCAAATTTCGGTAACTGTCAAAACTCTAATTGAAAGTTTCAGATACGCAAAAATGATATGTCATGAGATAAATATTTCTAGTAAATATATTTATAAATATATTGCATATTTGTGTATACCAAAAAAAAGTATATATTATAAGCTTTCTAAAATGGTATAATACTTGTATAATTTTCATTGCTAGCTTACTAGAAAATCATCCTGAAAAAAATACAAATTATGATGTTTTCGTGATAATTTTTCAATCATCGTATTTAGATGCTCTTTACTATAAAAAAGTACTAGTTACATACATAATTTATACATAATATAGTAGATCAACTTCTTAGCTATAGTTTGAGGTATAATACAAGTACCTGCGCCGATTTTTACAAAATGTATTTATGGCCAAGCTCTCTTAGGCACCTCCACATAGTGCGGCGGCGCTGGGGGTGATATATTTTATATTTTGTAAATTGTAGATTATTTAAGTTCTTAGTTATTTCTAGTTTTTACGTTTTTAGACATAAGGTTATATAAATATCTATTCAATTAATAAATTATTTAGTGTGATATACCTATAGTAACAAAATTTTTCAGTATGATAATTTAAGAGTATTATTCAATTCAATGTCAATATTAATTACGATTCCTAATGTCA